CTGCAGAAATTACCCAGTTTGACACCACTTTTAACTGTCACGGCACTTATTTGTTGTGGCGCTAGAGCTCTGTAACAGAACAGGCTAAATGTCTCACAAAACTACAATTCCCAGAATTCCATAGTGGAGTCTGCTCCTCGGAGGTTTGTAAACAGAGGCTGGATGGCCATCCTCCAGGAGTGCTTTGATGGTGTCTCCCTGCGTGGTGAAGTGGGTTAGACTGGATGGCCCTTGGCGGTCCCTTCCAACTCTATGATCCCACTTTTCCAGCTGCTTTTAAAATGTCCCAGTTTCTCTCTTTTCCTCCCACTTCAGCCCTTTGTCCTCAGATCACGTCAGTTGCTGCAAACTGAGTCCAAAATGCAAGAAAAGTTGGTGGTCAACTCAGCAGAAGAGAGAAGGAGGCAGGACCTTGCCCTTCCCTGGAGACTTAGGCAAAAGCAAGCTGCTGCTGCATCCTCTCTGAGCTGAAGTCTTCTCCCTTTCGCCATCTTGACCCCATGCTCTGATGTTGCTTGGCCGCATGTGTCCCGTGTGTTTTCTTCTGGGAAACGTTGGTAGGATTCGAGGTCCCCTTTGCAAGCTCTGCTTCAGGCCTTGGAAGCAGTGGATGGCAGCCATGGCAGGAGCCTTGACAGTTGCAAAGGCATGCTGGAAAGCATGCAGGCGATGGATGATGAAATCTCAGAAACCGCAGGCATTGCTCAATGGGATCTGCAGTGCTTAAGGGGATGGATGGCTGAGGCTTATCAGGAGCAGCACCCAGGACACCCAACAAATGAAGTCACACACACACACACACAAACATAGACAAAATACACAAACCCAGAGCTTGGAAATAGTTCATTTACTCATTAGATTCCTTCTATCCTGCCCCTGGGACCCAGAGCAACTTAGAATGGCTGCATCTGCATTGCAGGAATAATGCAGTTTGGTGCTCTTTTATCTGTCATGCCTCCATCCTGTGGAATCCTGGGAATTCCTGTGGAATTCTCTTGAAAGAGAAGGCTCTAATGTCTCACAAAACCGCAAATCCCAGAATTCCATCACATTGAGCCATAGTGGTTACAAAGCAGTGCCAAACTGCATTAATTCTGCAGTGTAGATAAGTAAAGCCTAGGACTTTGGGAGAAAAGAGGCTGCATCCACACTGCTGAAATAATCCAATTTGACACCACTTTAATTGCCATGGCTCAATGCTAGGGAATCCTGGGATTTGTAGTTTGTTGTAGCACCAGAGCTCTTTGACAGAGAAGGCTCAACACCTGACAAAACCACAAATCCCAGAATTCCATAGCATTGAGCTGTCACAGTTAAAGTGGTGTCAAACTGGAGTATTTCTGCTGTGCGGATGTAGGCTGAGAAAGCTGCATATCTGACAAAACTACACATCCCAGGATCCCATAGCATTAAACCATGGCAGTTAAAGCAGTACCAAACTGCATTATTTCTGCAGTACAGACAGTGTGGAGTAGTGGTTTGAGTGTTGGACTACAGCTTTGGAGACCAGGGCCCAATTCCCAGTTCAGCTATGGAAACCCACTGGGTGACCTTGGGTGAGTCACACTCTCTCAGCCTCAGAGGATGTCAATGGCGAACCTTCTCTGAACAAATCTTGCTGAGAAAAAAAAAACATGATCGGTGTGCCTTAGAGTTGCCATAAGTCGG